GTTTATAGAGGGGTTTGAGAGGGGCGATAGTTTTGTATCGGATCCGCTTCGGGTTAGTATGGATTTTATAATTTTTGCCCCTTGAAAAGGTGATGAATGGTTCTTGTAAAGAGGGAGGCTCCTGCGGGGGGGGGGGGGGGGGGTTTGTCAAGGGGGAATGGGAGGGGGGAGGGAAGGAACTTGCCGACGCGGAATTTGGAGTAGGGGGAGTAGGAATGGCTTTTGGCTTCTTTTGCTGAGCGGTGGAGGTTGTCAAACTCCTCCCTGGAGAGGGCAAACGTCTCGCATGTGGAGGCGATGTCGGCCGGGGAGGTGGCGGAGAGGATTGGGGGTGGGATGGTGGTTTGGGTTGCCATTGCGGAAGTGAAGTGAGTTGGTGGTGTTTGGTGGTGTTTGGTGGTGGTGGTGGTGATGAAAAACAAACTTCGATCAAAAAATAATAAAAACCAAAGAAAACGGCACAGTCAAAGTCAACGTCAACCTCAGCAAAGGAAACCTTCTTGTCGGGTCTCACACACCACCTTCCTCCAACTATGACGACGATGTTTATAAACCCACCGCCTGTACAACCCCTGAAGATAGGTAAACCCCGCCGTTTTCCCGGCGGTATCCGCCCTTGCCCCTTTATCTAATCACTCACAACTAGCCACTTGCCTATCCTAGCCACGACACATGCCAGTTGTCTCTCGCAACACCGCCGTTCGCATCCCAAGGTCACAAGACCACCCTCAATCCCAGTAAAATCAATTCCAGTTTGCTAATAGTTTTACCACATGTACAACACACTATTATGTCTTCAAGTATCGGTCAAATTACGCTAGTACTCTTATTCCCGACCCAAAAGCTACAGTATATGTACGTTCCAGTTTGTTCCCTAGTACATCTACTGCACAAAGTCAATCCTACTACGCCCACTCACCAGCGCCACCACCACCAACAACAGAGAAGCACCTCAAACAGGACAGCAAAGACAAAAAATGTAGAGACACAAAAATCAAATGTCCACCCAACCCTTTTAAACCCCCTTCCCTCAACACCAACGCCTCCAAAAAACACCAACACCAAATGAAAAAAGCAAAACGCCATCAGATGAGGATAGTCACCGCTTCTTCACTGCTTCCCCCTACCTCTCCATAACCACATCCTCTCCCTCCCCCTCATCCTCCTCCTCCTCCTCCACCTCCTCCTCCTCCTCAGCATAGCTCTCCACGCCCGCCGCCGCCTTCCTCCTCTTATTATTCTCCCCAACCTCCTCCGCCTTCGGAACCGGATGCTCCCTCTCATACTTCAACCTCAACTCGGTAGCCTTCCCATCCCACTCCTCCCCCAATTTCTTCCACTCCTCCATCCTTTCCGCATACGCCCTCTTCTGCTCCTCCACCATCTCCACAAACGGCCTCTTCTCCTCCTCGGTCGTCTCCTTCCACATCTTTGCGCTCATCACCCTCACCTCGTTAGCAGAGGGCTTCCCCTTGCCCGGCCGCCTCCCCTCCTCCAGCTTCCTCCTCGCCCTGTCGTAGTTGGACTTGCTGAAAAAGATGTACGCGTTGCTCGCCGGCTTGGCCGGCATCGCAGGCCGCCTGTCAATCAGCGAGACAATGTGATCCCACATGTCAATCTCGTACTGCCTCAGCCGAGCCTCAAGGGAGCCGTCCTTCTGATTACCCCCCGACGCTTTGCGCTTAAGGGACGAGTGGTCCTTGGGGACAATGAGCGGGGTAGGAATCTCAATCGGCCCGAGCATGGCATCCAGCACTTCCGACGCCGCGCGGAGTCCCGACAGATAAGCACCGTGAACAGTGGCAGGGTGCGTCCCGCTGGTGTGCTCGCCCGCAAAATACAAATTCCCAATCGGCCTCGCCATGGTGTCATAGTCATCCGCCTCCATGTTTGGCCCCGCCGATGAGTAACTCCCGCGGGCAAACTTGTCAGACGCCCACCGGGTCACGACCGCCTCGACAGGTTGTTTGGGTACCCTAGAACCGTAAACACTGCGAAGAACCTCTGTCGCTTCCGCCACAAGGTCGTCGTTGCAGCTCTGCTCCGTGTCATACCCAGCGTCGCCAGCCATGAGCGCGAGCAAAACAGGCAGCCCGCTCGGCTTGGAGATGTTGAACCACTGAAAGAAGCGACCTCGCTGAGAGGAGTAATCCTTCTGTTCCAGACTATGCCGGCTGGATGGCATCCGCAAGACACCAAAAATGTCGCGGTTCTCGTTCCAGAACGCCTCTCTGTACACAAGAATGACCTTGTTCAGCACGCCAAAACCTAGGCGGCTGATGGCGTCGGCCTTCCAAGACGGCAGCGGCGGGTCAAACTGCACGTTACCGTGCTTGAGCACACCGAGCGGGATAGTGTTGACAACGTAGTCCGCCTCCACCTTGTAACCATCTTCACACTCAACAGTGGCTTTACCCGTGTTGTCAGGACTGTATGTAATCTTTTGGACTGGCGACTTTTGCTTCAGGTTCAATGGCGTAGGAAGCATCGCAAGACCTCTAGGCACGCTCTGATACCCCCCAACAACCATCGTATGGGCCCCTTCCCACTCGTTTCCCGCGTCAATGTCCCACCCCCGAAGGCTCATCTGGTTGTAGTTGGTGGCATTGCTGTACTCAAGATTGGCAACGTGCCAGTTCATGAGCCTGAAATCCTGCGCCGTGAAGTCTACCAGATCTCTGTATTGCGGAATGATCTTGTCGATGACGCTGCCGAGCGTGGCATTGGGTTCTTTGGTAAGAGAATCAATCTCGAGATCAGCATCGTCGCTGACGCCATGCTTGAGCGGCCAACCGATATCCCTCACCCTATGCGCCGCTTTCTGAGCCCCTGGGGTTCCTGGTTCGGTGTGAACCTTCCCAGTGGCGCGATCCGACGATACGGGTACCAGGTGAACCTGCGGCGCCATGTTTTGTTCCGACACAGGCGCCGCATACGGTTGCGCAGCAGCCGCCTCTTCAGCTTGCCGAATCGTCCTGTGCGTTTCCGCCGAACTATCCCTCCCCTCGTCTATCAAGTCGCGGTTGCCCTCGATCAGTTTCGACGTCGGCTGCTGAAACTTGTACTCGCTGACCCGCTCAAGACAGTCGTTGTAGAGCTTCTCCACCATCTGGTCCCGTACAAAATCGACAGGCTTGCCGTTCGAATCGAAAATGGTCATGTCGGGGTTCAGCTTGTGATAGTCAAGGCCCAGCTGGCCTCTGAGAAGGATGTTGATGGGATTGCCCCTATCAAAGCCCGTGATAATCATGCCTCCCATCTCTGCGGTATATCTCTTGCCGTCAAAATGAGGTGGGACCTGTTTTGGTTTTGTGGTGAAAGCACGGGAATACACTCTCCCGCCAACACGGCTTCTCCCTTCCAGGACGACAACCCGTGCAGGCTCCTCACCCATCTCGCGAAACTTCCTCGAGTACTGCTTGAACAGGCCTTCCAGCTGTCTTGCGCAGCCAAGCCCGGACATCCCCGCGCCGATGACGACAATCGTCTTTTGTTTCCTCCGAGTAGATGGGCCTTCGGGCACTGGCTTACGTGACGACCGGATTTCAACACACCCAAAGTTGATATATCCGCGACGGACGAGCCAGTCAAAGCTGAGGCTGGCAACGTCAAACCACCTCGAGTCTTTGGCACAGCCAACAGCCTCGTCACGTGTGACAGCGATCTGTGGATTTCTGACCCAAAGTCTCAGGATTCCGTTACGGATATTCAGATACGTCGTCACTTGTGTATGGCTGATATGATCACGAAGCATCGAGTACTCCTCTGGATGAAGGGCATAAGGGTTTAGTCTCGACGCTTCGGCCCCGGAAATGCACTGTGTGGCGTATTCGTAGAGCGGAAGATCAGGCGGGATAGAGACCTTTGGCCGCACGTCATATCTCCGCCTCGGCTTGTCTTTTATTTGACTGGCGGGTTGGGCAGCAGGAGGTGCCATGCCCTCCTTGGAACTTTCGTTATCAACTGGAGTGGTGGCTTTACTAGACACCGAGGATAGGGCGGGTGATAAGTCGGAGTGTTCCGATGCTAGAGATACTGATGATGATGAGCCTTCCGCCTTTGGAGCAACATCATTCTCCACAGTTTGGGATATTACTACTGCAGATGCCGGTGCCGGAGGTGATAATGGGGGGGTGGGTGGCGGAGGATCATGTTGGAGAGGGGTGGTTGGTTCAAGTTGAGGAGCCGATGGAACATCTAGGGAGAGCGGCGGTGGCACTTCAGTGGGAAGAGATTCAGGCTGCATCGAGGGAGACGACGCAGGTTGAGAGAGGGGGGACGATGATGGCGACACGCCAGGTTCCCTTGTTCCATAGTCAGCACGTGACACTCAATCTGAAAATGACAGGTTGATTGGGCTGAAGAACAGGTCGAATCGAGACGCTTACATCTTCATGTCCTCAGCTGCCACATCAGCAATGTCTAACATCTCCGGCGGCGCCGATGTGGGTGACTCGGGCACATCCACATCCATAGTGTCTCCCGTCCAGACCACTATCTCGGCAGCGATATCCTCAGATGGACTCGAAGACTCCTTGACTTTCATCCTCCGGTCAGGGGTATTCAAAGATGTGCCGCCGGCAGGTGATGATGATGGCTTGGCAAAACTCGAGCTGGCCGGTATGCGGTTTGAACGTCGTGAATCAATATTCGGACTAGAACCTCTTACAGGTCGTTTCCCAGCACCGCTAGAATCTCTAGATCGGGGGCGGGAAGGGGGCCCCATCCTAGCGAAACTGGTGGTCTAATCGGCTTGCGGGATGTGAGGTTGATGGTCGTGGATAGACAGATATATCGGATCGGATGGTGGTCAGGTCGCTGGTGGTGACTGACAACTCCGCTTCCACCTCATGCCATACACAGACAGGGGGATGGTGCCACAGGCTCCGAAAATTCAGCTTGATTGGCAGTCGAGATGTGGTTGTAGCTATAAGACGAAAAGGAACCGTATATCTGCTTGACAAGGTCAGCAAATGGGTCTCTGGTGGTGAATCGATGATTATCTGCGCTGGCGTATCATTGATCTGATATCTGATTGGAATAGAAACCAAGACAAGACACCTCAAAAGCAAAAATGTCCAGGGAGCTGGGGCGTGGTATTACCTCGAGAGAACATATCGGCGGCCGCGCACCGTACGGACCGGGGAAAAGTGGCTCGAGGTTCGAGAGTGAGGCTAGTGAGTTACGGATGAGAGGGTTTGGTAATAAGAGAATGGCATTGAGGCCGTGATTTGCCGTCTACCTCGCAGAACGGCAAGAGTCTGAAAGAGGGAGACAGTAGCGCAGATTCATCTCCACAGCACAGCTGAGCCGAACCGTGCAGTCACTGTAATCCAAGTCCATTCCAGGCCTGCCCGGCGCTATCACGTGAGCGCCTCTCCGCACCCATATCCCCCCAAAACACACCAACTCACCTCACCCGCCCGATATCAAGCCATCAGCCCATTCTTGTTGGTAGAGTTTGGCTATCTCTTTGAATTCTCACAGGGATATCTCGAGTCACCGTTTGCCTTTGTTTGCCTCGGTCAGCAGTTCACTTACCTGCTTCGACGGAGCAAACAGTCTATTTTCCAGGGTGCAGTGCCCGGCCTAAGCTCTGCTGCTGCCAGCCACCAACTTCACGCATGGGACGACAGGTTGTTATATTTAAACATCATACCTAGGGTATATCATCTCATCTAGCAGCAGCGGCCGGAGAAGAAGCCGTCGCCGCAGCCGAGGCTTGTGGGTTTCTCTTCTCAAACGACTCCTTCTCAATTGCCGCATCCATCATCCTGTTCCCGCTAATAATCGAAGTCGTGCAGATAACCATCTTTCGCCGCGCTGTGTAGTACCATCAGTTAGCCATGACTTCTACGTGTCGGGTATATGGTCCGACTTGCCTTCTTCCTGCTTTGCAATAAACCGCAGTGCGGCAATCTCAGTGAAACTGATGCCGCCCACGAACACCACAAAGACCGTCTTTTGTTCACCACCTCCCGATAACAACGCCCTGGCTTTGACAGCCTTGTCCTCGCCCTTTTGGACCTCGTCGAACGTCTGGCCTCGAGCATGCTTGACAGCGTCGTCGAATCCACGCCATCCCTGTGCTCCACTTCCAGCCGGTCCAGCCGCACTCGTCACCCCGTTCCCTCTTGTGAGGGAAAGTAGATATTGTTTCTGGAGAATGCATTGGACAAGGCGAACCGATAAAGGGGCGTAGCCGCTATAGACGTAGGCAATATCGTTGGGGTCTTCTTCGTTGACCTCGTCCACAATGAGCCGGAGCTGCTTGCGGAGATATGTGTAGTTGGTTTTATTTCCAGTCGCACCCGCAGAGCCTGTCATTGGAATCATGGATGCCAGAGGGGATGACCTGGATAAAAACATCTGGAGCCGCTCTAGGTTATGGAGGGTCAGCAGATGCTGATATCCATACCCTTGAAGTATAAGTCGCCGAAAGTGGTCCAGCTCTTTGCTCTTGATACCCCCCGAGATGCAAGAGTAAACACACATCAGTCTCAAAACTTGAGGCAATGGTGTATCCCGCGCTATGAGCTCCTCAATGGCATCAAATTGCGAAGATGGATCCGCTCCTGCTGCCAGATTCTGCTGCACCTCAAGGAGCTTCGTAAAGAGCTCAGTCTGCGTATACTTCATGATTTCTTCTGTAAGGCCCGTGTGTATCTTCAAGCTCTGTTGCTCTGCCTGATATCCGGGTAGCTTTTGCACGAATTCCCTAAGCTCCGCTGTCGTCTTTGAACTGTGTCTGCTATCAAAATCGCTTTGGAGTCGTCGGGCTATTTTGTGCAACTGAGTGCCTACGACGGCGAAATTGGTGTCGCGAAGCTGCGCAAACAACTTGTCAGAGCCGTCCAGCTGTATCTTGCGCTTTCTCGTCTGCCCATCTGTTGCCGTCGGGGCTGTCGTCGATCCGGCTTGAGGTCCAGGCTGTGGTGCTGCGCCAACTATCGTCGAATCAACATCGGTTTGGTTATTTTGAATGCCAAACAGTTCGTCGATCAACCCTTCGTAAGTGAGCTGGGTGAGAAGAGGTGTAACAAAATCGACTTCTCGGTCGATAATGATGATGCTTTCAGTTGTTGTGCTGGGGCTGAGCCCAACCTTGCCGGCCTCGCCAACATCTTCGCCGGCGAGTAACTCTTGTCTCATGCGCAAAAGAAGATCGGAAACCCTTTTGGCATTGTCGCCTTTGCCGACAATACGAGGAAACAGTCCATGCTTTTGTTGGATGCCCATCAAGGCGCGGGCGAGCAGGAAAACGGGCGTGGGGTCTTTGGCCAAATAAAGGTCGCGGAACGAATCGTCAAGCTCTAGGGACAAGACATCTTTATCCAGGGGAAAGAAGAAGAGCGGGAGTTCGGTGACATTGGTGTCTCCCAAGACTCCAGCTTCCTCCAAGATCTTGTCAGAAAGTAACGTCCGCCGAGGCACCCAGAACACATGGAATTCGAGCGGGGTCTGCGCCTCTCGCTGAAGGCGAGTAATCTGGTCTGCTGTCTTGTCAGTGGCCCCAGTTGACTCTCATGAGCATACTCTCAGTTTTGCTCAAGGTGAGGTGTCGTCGCAGGGTGGGAAGGGTGGTGCGGATGTCTTACCGGCTATCGCATGAGCGTTGCGGGCAGACTCGCCGCGGGCAATGAAGACGACATTGCGGTTGGTGGTATCCGTGTTCTTGTTCTCAAGAAAGAAGATCTTGTCGACATCGTATTCACGTAAAGTCGAGGCCTTGACTATCACACCGAGCGGGCCGGCGAGCTTCTCCTCAATGACGAGGTTCTTCTTTCCACGAACCTAGGGTGACGCTGCCTGTCAGTTCAGCAACTAACTCAGCACCGCACGCTGTAACATCGCAAGGGAACCGTGTGGTCCGTGATAGGGAGAGAGGTGGTTATGGTCTTACCCCTTCGAGAAGATGAAGCAGATCCCTCCGCGCCTTGTCTCTGATCTGTTCTGTGTCAAACTCCGGTTGAGGAGCCATGGTGGTGAGCTGTCATGGCGATGTTGAAGTTGGTCCATGAAGCTTGCGAACCTCAGTAGGCAGCAAGTGACTAGCGAACGGACGCCTGGATGGATTACTTGGCGATGGCCCGAGCTCCAAAGCTCCACACGGGTCACAACGTCACACACTGATCGGTGGTCGGTGGATAGCTTCACCGATACTCAGATATATAATTCCAGATCTACAAGTTGATCTTCCACTCTGGTGTTGATATCATTTTCTCTTCAATTCCTGCTCGCAATTGATATGAAAGAGATGTTTATGGTGAACAAGTCTTTCGCTTTCTTTACGCACTTTATATGGCAGTCTGCCTCTCAACACAGACTATTCTTCGACAAGACCAAGTATTGATCCATCAGTGATGAGCTTCTGTGAGCTCATTGAATAGCTTGTGAAAAACCCCCAGAAATTTTAGCCTGACAACCATGCTCGCAGAATTCCAAACTCCACCTCGGATGCTCGCTGTGACCGAGTGAGAGCAGCTCATTATGCAATCAGAGAATCTTTAATGCCCAGTATCCCAGTCATCCTCAATAAACGCCATATCCCAATCAATCAAAGCCAACTAGATATAAAACAGACAAAGTCAGACCCGTCCATCCCATCTCAGACGTTGTTATCATCGTAATAGAAGTCGATATCCTTGGGGCGCAGTCTGTTGGCACGCACAAACTCCTCGTCACCCGCGGGCCGTTCGTTTCTGCTGTTGCCCGTCAACATACTTTGGAGGCTCATGCACACACTCTCAACATTCTGCACCGGACTCCATCCTTGCTGTCCCAAGAGATCAAGGCAGATGATTCCATTGGAGTAAATGTGGGGATGGATCGGGATTGGTCGGTCGGCGAGCTTCACAAACGTCACCTCGGGAGGTTCTGGCAGATGTGGTGTCAGCGACTTTTGGGGTTGGACAGCAAGCAAAGGAAAGCAATCGTCCTCACCGATGGGATACTGCGCGCTGAAACGAAACTTGAGTCTGTAGATCTCGTTCAGGTAAAGAGGATTGTTGTCGAGTACCCGGATGTCCAGGAACCACTCTTCAAAGTTATCGGCCGACACAAGTTCAATGCCCGGAGGGAGGGAGTTGCTGTTGATCTATGTGCGCACAAGGCAATGACAATGTCAGTGGGGTTGACAAAAGATAAAAGAAGTCGCAGGAGGAAAAGGATTGCTTACTTTCGACAGCTCTTTGCCGAGCCGCTTAGTCGCGAATCCGGCCATTTTGTCGACGACTTCTGTGCGTGCTTGCAATCGTCGCCGGTGAAGCCGTCAGCTGAAGGGTCGCCGAGAAGGAGTGACGCCGAGAAGGGGTGACGCCCAGCAGAGAGCCAACAATGGCTCGATGTTGGTGGCGGGGTACTTTTTCGAGAGCTTTAACGCGGGGGTGGGGCGAGGCACCAGCGCAACCTGAAGACCCTGGGGTAGCGAAAAGGAAAGAACCAGCCCCAGCTGGTCGATGCAGAGGAAGAACACAGGAAGAGAACACTTGAGGTTTGGTGGTGTTCTCAAAAGCTCTCAGTGGTGGCATTAAATTCCTAGACAAAAAGGTGCACGGGATGGATGACTGGCGGGTAGGTAGGCGAGCGGCCAAGGTTTCGATCACAACAGCGGCATATGTGTACGTGATAGACTCCACTCACACAGCTTGAGATTTCTTAGAGATCAGGAACCAAGACACCGGAACCCGGGAAAGGGTCACTTGGTGATTACTACCGGCTGAGATTCCTCCCTTGCTTCCAAGTAAGGGACAATCTCTCATTCGCCTGCAACATATAGGAAGGAATCAAATGACCCCGTATTAGGTTTCTGATGCCCTTTAGATTTGTTGACTTCCCACCAGTTGAGATACTATCCGGAGATCCAAGATATTGGGGATCATATGCACCAGCAACTGACTAGTCAGCCACAAGGCCGTCGGGAAATCCAACCTCTTCCTCTTCCAAAGGAATAAAGACCTACGGAAAGCCTCTTCAAGCTCCAGTTGATGTGTCCCTGAACCTTCATTACTACCCGACGGCAACTGGAAACACCATTCTGTCCCCAAGAGAGGCACAATCTGCACCCATGCAAGGCTGAGCCACAGGGAAACCTGAGAAGCCAAATCGAAGGCCCCATCTGCGGGAGGCGGTGCAGCTCGGGAAAAGACTTGCTCAGTCTAACGAAACATTACCACTCAGATTAACCACCATGCCGCGACTGGACTAGCGATTCTCTAGAGTACACCAAATCAGAAAATATCCTGGCCGATTTTCCTCTCCGAGCAGTGGTCTATCGGCCTTCTCGAACAAGGAGGCTTCAATCAGATCCCGTCCCGTCAACCCCTCGGTTCCACTGACTGACTCCCCTCCCACCCCGCAGAGAGAGCCCGCCAGGCTGGGCAGATGGCTAGGGTCACACAGCCTGCAGAAGGGGAGATCCCCTGGCACATGCGGTGGCCAGTCAAGGACCAACGCGGGAGACGAAATAAGGCATTTTCCGCTTTTGGTCTTGGGCCTTTTGGTGACCTCCCACGAGCTGAGCATGTTGGGCATGAGGGTACTCAGTAGAAAGAGGTACATACATAATACATAGCCATAGTCATCCCGACCTCTTTATTATCCTGCCGTGTGCTACTACTACTACTACTACTGCTACTACTACTACTACTTCTTACTGCCTACCTAGGTGTTCATCCAGTAACCGCCAATAACGCCGTTTCCACTTCATCCCCGTATCCAGTCGCCGGCGGGGCAGCTAATCATCGCTTGGCAACCCCTCGTCCACCACCTTCCCAGCCCAATTGCTGCCAAGCCCACTCCTTGTGCATCTGCATCTGCCTCTTAGGTGCTCTGCCTCTATGCCTCTACCTCTCTGCCTCCTCCTCGCGCCGATACCAACCTAAGCACACTCAGGTACCGACGCACACCGTACGCTCTGCCTCAAGCGCCTGAAGGCTTGTCAGCTCCCCAGCTCCCCAGCTCCCCCCTCAGCCGCTCTCTACCGTCGCACGCGCCGCCCTCCTTCTCCTCGCTCTCGTCACTCTCTTCCTGCGAACTAAAACACAGCCAGGGGCTCAGGACGTGCCAACACGACATACTGGCACTCGGACACCAAGTGACATCTTCCAGAAATTAAGGTTACTTGAATCGTGCTGCCCGCAGCCACTTCAGAGCCAGAAGCCTCCTCCTACTTTTCCGCTTCTTGTTTTTTTGCCAAAGCTCGGCACCATGAGCTGTAAGTCACCACCTCCATGTCACCTTCAGCCAAGTTCCGCCATGTCCTCTCGAGCTTCGGTGTGTCCCCTTGTTCTACGTCATGTAGTTTACCAGCTAGCCGGCCGGCCACGGCGCCGGCAGGAACAGCCCGTGCTGATATGAATTTGTGAACCGCAGTCTCGAACATGCTCAATCGCCTGCATGGGCAACCTGAGAGCTATGATAAGAAGTGCGCAAAGCTATCCCACCCTCGCTCTTTGTAGTAACATGTGTCGCTGATACCTCCCCTCTCAACAGGTCCAAATATCGTTTTGGGCGCACCTTAGGCGCGGGCACCTATGGCATCGTCAGGGAGGCCGAGGGCCCTGATGGCAGGGTTGCTATCAAGATCATCCTGAAGAAGAACGTGCGGGGCAACGAGCGCATGGTCCTCGACGAGCTGGATATGCTCCAACGTCTCAAGCACCCTCACATCGTCAAGTTCGTTGACTGGTTCGAGTCGAGAGTGCGTTCCTCCTAGACAACAACGACTTTGGGCGCAGAGATCCAATCGCTGACTTTGGTCCTCTTGTAGGACAAGTACTATATCGTCACAGAACTTGCCACCGGTGGAGAGCTGTTCGACAGAATTTGCCAACAGGGCAAGTTCACCGAGAAGGACGCCTCCCAAACCATTAAGCAGGTCTTGGGCGCCGTCGACTATCTCCACAAGAACAATGTCGTTCACAGAGGTAAGCTTATCGGTGAAAAAAGGGGTAACGACAAGGGGCTAACCACGTCGGGTCCAGATCTCAAACCCGAGAACTTGCTCTACCTCACCAAAGAGGCCGATTCCGACCTCGTCCTCGCCGATTTTGGCATCGCAAAGATGCTCGGCACCAAGGACGAGGTTCTCACCACCATGGCTGGCTCTTTCGGGTATGCCGCCCCCGAGGTCATGCTCAAGCAGGGCCACGGCAAGCCTGTGGATATGTGGTCCCTGGGTATCATCACCTACACCCTCCTGTGCGGTTACTCGCCATTCCGGTCCGAGAACCTCCAGGATCTCATCGACGAGTGCAGCGCCTGCCACGTCGTCTTCCACGACCGGTACTGGAAGGACGTCAGTGATGATGCCAAGGATTTCATCCTGAAGCTGCTGAAGGCTAAGCCTGAAGACCGGTGGTCTAGCGAGGTACTTTCCCCCTCGACCCCCTTTTACCCCTCTGCCCAGTCAACTAACAGCTTGTCTTTCCCCCCAAATAGCAAGCCCTCGCTCACCCCTGGCTCAGCGGCGAGAACGCCACCGACCACAACTTGCTGCCCGAGATCAGGGCTTATCTCACTCGCGCGCGCTTGCGCAGAGGCATCGAGATGGTCAAGCTGGCCAACCGCATCGAGGCGCTCAAGATGCAGGAAGATGATCCCGAGAATTCGGACATGCCAAAGGATGCTACGTCAGCAGCGAACCAGACGCGTCATTTCCAGTCGGGCAAGAATGCTAACGAAGAGGGCAGCAGCGGCGGTGGCGGCAGCAGTGGAGAGAAAAAGGAGGGTGAGCAAGCAGCGGGGGAGAAGCGCACATTGAGCAAGGCGATCAAGGGGGCTATTTTCCGTGAGGTTGTTATGGCCAAGGTCAGGGAAATGAAGGAGCAGGAGGAGACGTTGAAGGTTACTGGGGAGGCTACGGGGGAGGGGTCGAAGTAAATAATGATGCTGAGAATGTTGGGAGGGGGAGTGATGAAACCAGAGTGGAGGGGATATACCGATTGACACACGAAGCGTGCGTGGCATAGCAGGACTTTTTTGGTTCTTTTTCCTTCTTGCGGGAGAATTGTGATCAGAGCAAGCCTGGTTAGTTGGTGCGTTGGTGGTGTTGGTACCTTTTTGTCGCGCTGTAAGAGGTTGGGTTTGTTAAAGGAGGAGGCAATTTGATGATTTATTTTATTTTATTTTTTGGTTGCTCCAGGAGAGGGTTTAGTCAGTACCTGCTTCAAATCAGCTGTAGGGTTCATGATAGTCAATTATAGCCTATGTTATATCCTCGAGGTACCTATGTTGCGGTTGTGATGGGGAATATTCTCAGCGGCTAGGTAGTTTGTCGATGTCGTTCGTTGGGTTCCACCGAAGTGTGTTTTTGGTTTTTACATGAATTTTGTTTTTGATGATCATCTCGTATTGTTTATGCGGGATCGCTCGGAAATAGGTGGGGATGAAAGAGGGATTATCTTTGAGAGGTACCAACCAACTACTGTCGAGGTTTAGGGCGCTTGTCAGAGAAGGATGAAATTGGGTGATTTTCAAGATGTTAAAGAGGTGGTTAAGGGTGGGAGTACGTCACACAGGTTGTATGATGATGGCTTGTTGAGTTCAGTTACAAGATAGATACAGCAAGGGGAGCACAAAGATCTGGGTTGTGGTACGTACCCAGCCGTCTTTGCTTCCAGTTACTACATACTACCCCCTCAAACTCGAACGCAACAATAACAGCCCGGGGTGGTGATGAGCCCATGCCATGCCAGATGGCATATCAATCCGTTCGTGCTACGATATTCCATCACCCTACTACACCCGACAGGCATGGAAGAAGAAGGACCGAAAAGCATGGAAAGTCTTGGTCTGGGTGGTTATTTTTGTTCCCCGAACAACAAGTTTGATTAAGAACCGCCACTTCATACAATCTATCAATCGAAGGAGCAGCCCAGTTTATCGAACTTAATTACCACGTGAAACGCCGAAAGGTCGCACAAAGGTTTGCCCACTATCACGTTCAGCCTCACCTGTGATGGTCTGAGGGAGGGAATGAAGCGGCTGTGTGGGCTGGAGGCGCCTCACAGACAACAACAAGAGAGTAGCCCACCGGGGCTGTCTCACACAAGCATCAGAGGACAGAAGGGTGCAGTGGAGACAAACTATCTCCTCGCTGATGAAAGAAAATTGTACATTGAGACCAAAAGATGAACTGCAAAACTGTCGACATCGTGATTTGAAGCCCCTTCAAAGACTTCCTATCTACTATCCTACCTCAGCCTACCATATACACAACCCACAAAAACAAAACAAAAGACAAACACTTGAAGAAGCAAATCGTTCTCTCTTTGACTTGTAGTAGCAAGTAATAACCTCAAACCAACGCTCCCTCGCTCCATGCGCCTTGCTCCTAAAACGCTAAGCAGTTGTTGTAGTTGTTGTACAATAGGTAAGTGTTGCTCTTCCCAAATCTCTCCTCCCAAATCGAGCACACACACACACACACACACACACACACACACACGATCCAAAACTCTGTACACAGTGGCCGCCACCCATCCATCCCCCTTGCCACTTCCTCCCTCCCCAAATCCAAGAATGTACAAGTCCTTTCCCCTCCCTCGACTCTCCCTCCTTCCAGTTTTTGAAACAATACCTCCTCCACCCACCCCTTGCCTGATGCATGAATGCTAATTGCCTGTTGTATGTCGAATAAAGTCGCTAAAAAAAAAGTAATAATTCCTCCCAGATATCATCTCGATATTGTTGTAGCGCCCGTTCGTAAACATCGTAAAAGTAGAACGAAAATTGTGAAAACAAAATCAGGAAAGCTCCGCCATGACCTCCTCGCAAAGCTCCTCATATCGCGTCGGATCAAACCTCGTCCTCTCCCAGTTCATCTTCCGTAACCTCTCAATCCTGGCTTGCTTATCCTCCACCTCACTATTCGCCCTAGCACGAGCAGCAGAGGCAAAATTTGGCGACCTGAGCCACTGGTCCACATTGGCGGAATGACGGTTGAGTTGTTTTCGGAGACCGGAGAGGTGTTCGCAGCAGCGGTCGACAGTCTGGGAGATCATGTACGCGTTTTCGTCCTCTTCCTCTGACGTCACTGATGAGGGGGATGCTAATGACGAGTCGTCATGCTCGTCTTCGCTTTCGTGAATGGTGTGTAATGGATATTCAACCTCTTGGAACCTTTCCTGGAACTTGGGGCTTACTGGCAAGTCGGGCAGCTTTTGCAAGAGGACTGGTGAGGAGAAGTAAAAGTCGTCAAATCCGAGGGTGGGTGAGTCTGGGCGGATCATGGGCTCTGGAATGTTGATCTGGATGGGTTCCTCCTTGGGGAGGGAGAAAGAGACCTTCTTGACACGTTTGGGGGAGATATCCCTGCTGCAGCTATCTTCGCAAGATGAAACGGACTCGGTGGGTGTCTCTGGGGTCCAAGCTCGAGAGCTGCTGATGGAACTTGATGGCGAGTGGCAACTCGAGCCTCGTGACGACATGGATGAGCTGGATCGTGCTTTACTGACGACGGATTCCTCGGCAGCGTTGATGAGGGCGGATGCGCGATTAAAGTGGTTGCGGGCTTGTTGAAGGGTGTCGGTTCTGTGTGAGCTTGATGGGAGAGGTCGGGCGAGAATCTCCAATGAAGTGGCGGCATAGAAGTGAAGATAGATCAGATATACTGGCTCAACCTGAGACTTGCCCTTGATGGCGTTGAGGATTTCCACACATCGTGCTGAGCAGGCCCTGTATCTCTTCTCGATGTGGTGTCTCTTGATCTCAGCGATGGCTTTCCTCCACTCTGCTGATGAATAGGGAATCATTGGAAGAGGTGCTGGTGCTGGAAGTGAGAAGCGCTTGACCGGCTTCGGACGCTGTGATCGGTAACTCTGCCATGTGTCGGTATTCTGTGTGGATTGGCGTCTGAGCTTTGGCGCCGTCTCCGATGTTGGTGATGTGTTGTTGGACGGAGGCGGCATCCAGCTCGCTCTGTTGCCGAGCATCAAGGGAATGAGTCCAGGCATGGTGGGCGACGATGGCGAAGCTTTCCAGTCTGGTCTCGTTGGGTGCCGGCAGATGATGAGTTGAAGTTGGATACGTGCCTTCCAAGGGAGCCGGTGAGAGAAAGCTGAAGTGAGACTCTCCACGCGCAAGGAGGCAAGGCCGATAGATATTGCTAGTCACGGTGGTCTGGACAGGCATGCGCCCTGCTTTGACTGTAATGAAAGCCGAAGGGGCCACAGGAGATGGCCGAACACGACGCTGATGGCAATTCCCTTTCGGTAAATTGGGGTGGGTTAGGACAGGGAGCCCTGAGATGAGACGAGTGCTTGACAGCTCTTGACAGTTGACTGAGGGTCCGGGAGAGGGTCCGGCTGGATTTTAGCTCTTCCCAAGCAAGCGGGAGCCCAAGCTTCTGGAAGGTCTCTCTGGTAAATTGGATGCGATGCTGTGTCAATTTTGGAAATGCGTCCGAAGTCCCCGGGGCCCAGATGCGGGCAACGGAGCTGTGGGACTGGCACGGGACGGCGGACGGCCGGATGGTCAGTGATCACCGGTGCTGCGAAACGGGTGTCAGGTGTATGTAAGGGTCCGGGAGTCCGGGACCGTCTTGAAAAATATTAGCCTGATCCGGGACCAGTTGACCAGAGTTGACAAGAGAATGTCGGAAACACGGGGTGCGGTTGGGCGTCCAGGCGGCTGAATTGATCCAGAAAAGGTCAAGGAGTGGATTTCAACGGCGACCAAACGCGTTGAGATGGATAGGATGGGACGAAGCTGAACAAACACACTGGCGGCGGTGAGAAAGAGCGAATTCCAAGTTGCTGGTCGAACGAATGTGAGGCCAGGTGATGAAGCAAACAACGGCAGACCGAGTTCCTTCCAGAACAAAACCAGAACCAAGAAAGGAGGACTTGCTGGGGACGAGAGCGAGGGGATTCAATTTTTAACATGGATCACCTCACCCACCCACGCGCGCGCGGTGCCAGAAGGACACAGAGTGACAGGAGGCGTCATCTTGTGCCTTCCAGCTTCCTAGCTGCATGACGCCAGAGAATCGGCGCAATTTTTCTGCAGGCCCCAGCAGAACGCCAGTGGCTGGATGGCCGCCGGGCCCAAGGGAGGGCTCGTGCTGCGAGCTAAAATTTCTGCAGGGGCTCGAGCCCGGGTCCCGTTCCCCTGAGCCCTAACACCAAACGGGAATAGGGGCACATCCCCCCTGAAAATGATCCTCTGTCAACCCTGCTAGCTTTTGGGTCTCCCCCCCTCCCGGAACTGAACGCGAGTGGACAGCATCGTACACGGCGTGGGTCGTGGGTCTCTCTATTGCTTCTTTTGGTTCTCGGGCTTTCTTCGTTATCTGGTTTTTTTTTTTTGTCTTGCTTCAGCACCACGATCTGTGTCACGGCAAGCAGATTGTTTTCCGGTATCACAGCAGTCTCCCAACTCCCACAAAAACACGAGGGTCCAGGGACTTCTCGTGGGAGGTGTGCTCTCGGAAAACTGTGTATGTGATAGTGATGATGGCGCCGCACAAATGCCTTCCCAGCTCACTCATCATTCATCCGAAGATCCGGCCTCTTCTCACCATACCAACCCTCACACCATACTGTAGACAACAAACAACTCTCTCCTCTGCTTCCAACTCAGACCAAAGTCCGTTCGCATCAACAACTCCATATCTTGTTTGCCAGCGCCACACCTCGTGAAATAAACCGTTTGCACCGTGTTGTCTGTCTGTCATCTGTCATCTCATCTCATCTCATCTCATCTCAACTCTGCTTGCTTCTCACCCGAGCGCCACACCCGCGCAAATCTTGCCAATCCTCATCACATCCAACTTCCACAGCCTTCCCCCATTCATGTCTCTTTTTTCAAGCCCTCATATCAATTCCCATGTCACGGTATGTAAAACATCGACAATCAACCATCTCTACCACTCCACCTTGGGCCTGGACCAACACCGAGATTTCGTGCAACCCCCCATCCTCATGCAAACCCCCTTCCCAACCCTAGTCCAGAGACGAGACGGGAGCTCCCTATCAAAAAATAACCTTCGCTACCACTCATTATCAGAACGTCGTATCAACACCACCGACAACAACCCCGCGCCCCAGTGCAACCTCAACAAACAACAGAGGGGCAATCTCAACCTCATACGGCACAGACAAAAGCCAGCGGCTCAGCATGAAAAACACCCAAAGAAAGGAGATGATGATGTTCAATACATAAACACCGAATGTATATCCCCACCGACCACCAAGTTGTTTTCTCTGGGGCAACGGCTACGCCAACGTCCTCTACCACAGAGAGGAGGAAGAGGGGGGTATATGCCACCAGACTCTTCCCATTCACATCATTTCCATCCCACCACCACCACCACCACCACCACCACCATCGCTTCCAAAACTTACATCCCATTACTACCCATAATAAACTCAAAAGTCAAAACACCAACCCAGAGCTATGACATTGTAGCTGCAAGCCTTCAACCGGAGAGCCCAAAGCCCAAAAGCCCTCGACCACTCCCCATCATCCTCGCACCGCTATGACCCCTGCCAAGCACACCGGCTTCTGCCCCCAGCTCAAAATACCAACAACCAGCCGGCAGGGTCTTGCGTGTGTCGCAGGTTTTGTGGGGGAATCCTTGTTGATAAGCTTCCATCGTGATCGGGATAGCGTCTCAGATTGGGTAACCACTAGACCAGTGGCGTGCAAAAGTACCCCAGACTAGAACGCTTCCAGTTCTCTCTGTCCTAGTAGGCAGCGGTGTGGGCAGAAAAGTCACGCGACTTTTGAATATACCGTCAAAAAAAACATAGGCTGTCTAATATCCCGCTAATAGCCATCCCCAACCAACTTTTTTCAATGTGATTTTTGTTTCTTTCATATCAAGACATCTCCGACTTTAGTTCTCGGCCTTAACCTCCCTCCCCCCCCTCTCCCTCCTTAGCCAAGCTGCCTCAACCTTCACATCCTCCCCCTTGATCCCCCCCACAACTCTCAACCCCTCCGCCTGCGCAACAATAGCATCCAGCTGCTTCTTCCTCTCAATCCTCACCTGCACCTCCTTGGTCAAGTTCTTCAAATCAATCAGCTCTCCCTCCTTCAGCGGGTGATCCTCCGGCAGACCCATCTCCTTGATCTTGATCTTGCCCTGAGCCAGCTCGTCCTCTCCCAGAATAAGCGCAAACGGCACACCATTCGCCTCGGCAGCCTTGAACTGGTTTTGGAGCTTAGGCTTGACCTTGTAGAGGAACTCGGCCTGATTGAAAATGTTAGTCTGCGGCGACGGTGATAGACATTGTTAGTAAGAGTGGTGGTAATCTTACCTTGATGTTAGCGTCCCACAAACGGGCCGCAATCTCACTTCTCTCCTTCAGTAAACCAGTAAAGTCCTTGCCGCCACCAAAGGCCATGACGAAGACATCAACCTCGTTTTTCCTCTCCTTCTTGGCCTGGTTCGCCCTCATGATGGAGAAGATACGGTCGATACCGAAGCTGATACCCACGCAAGGGACCTGGGTTTTGCCAGAGAACATGCCAACGAGGTTGTCGTATCTTCCACCAGCAGCGACGGAGCCAATGCCTACTGTCGGGTCATCAGAGCGATCCTCATCTTCCCCAGCCTTGCCCTTCTTCTTCTTGGACTTTTCCGCCGAGGCATCAGCAGACGCAGCAGAAACCTTGGGGGCTGACCCCTCGGTGACAACCTCGTAGATAACTCCAGTGTAGTAGTCCAGACCCCTGGCTAGTGAGAGATCGAACGAGACACTGTGGCCGGCGTTGAAGGCGTCGAGGTAGGTGAAGAGGAGATCCATGTCGGCGAAACCTTGTTGCATCGAGGGGTTGGCGGCCAGCTCCTCGTCCTTTTGCAGCTGCTCGAGCAGGTCCCGCTTGCCCTTGAGCACGACGTACTTTCCGATCTTGTCGGCAATCTCTGGCGCAAGTCCCTTCTCCTCGACCATCTCCTTGCGGACATCCTCCCATGGCATCTTGTCAAGCTTGTCGACGGCGGACGAGATGGGGCGGATGGAGGCCTCGGGAACACCACAGACCTGGAAGATGCCATCAAGAATCTTGCGTGAGTTGAGCTTGATGGTGTACTTTCCTTGCCAGCCAAGGCCCTCGAAGACTTCGTTGATGATTCTGATCTGCTTGCGTGTTAGCAGTGGTCAGCCAGTAATGGCGATGAATACGCACGATCTCGGCGTCTGGGATCATTGGGTCGTAGAGTCCAGCAATATCGAAACTGTAAATCAGTTAGTGCTTCCTCAGACGGTTCTTGATAGTCTGTAATCTCCATCGCCCACGTACTCGCATTGATACTAGAACTATGTTAGCCTTGCAGTTTTCAGGCAGTGAAAATTGGCCGACTTACAAACTCTCTCATACGGCCCTTCTTGACCGCAGGCTGGTCTCTTCGGTAGACCTTCGCAATGTGATAACGCTTGATCTGTGAAATGTCCTTGTTCATCGCCAGGAACCGAGCGAACGGGACGGTCAAGTCGTATCTCAAACTGCAGAGCTCGCCACCCTGATCGGCAAGGTCATACTGCAGCATATCTCGTGTTAGTTATGCCTTGTTCCCTAATGAGACATGAGGTGAGGCTGACGAACAATGAGCTTGCTATCCTCTCCATATTTCCCTGTTGGATGCGGTTTCCTAGTTAGTCATAGATCCTCGGTTTCTGTCATCGATATCGCCGTTTCGTACCGGCAAGAATCTCTAGGGATAATTGTTAGCCAATGCGCCAGCGCCCATGTCAACAAGGCTCGCATACCCTTCAACTCAAAAACAGGAGTGTCGATTGTTACACCGCCGTGGCGCTCTTTTGCCCAGTCAGCCCTTTCTCTTGTCCTTGGCATGCTTGTTCGTCCATTACATACTGAAGACGTTGGTGATGGTGTTGAAGATCTTCTCCCTAAGGACCATGTCCGCGCCGGACCCTGCAGAAGCGCATTAGTATAAGCCGATATCGAGAAAGATACTCGGCCGAGTTCGAGATTGACGCACAGTCTCTGGTGCCCTTAGGGGTCCTATCATGGCATTGATTAGCTCACATGTTCAGGGTCGAGGATGTAGCACCAGAAAAAGCACAGGAGGTGCCGTACTTGATCTCGAACTTGGGGGCCTTTGGCGCCATGTCTTCGATAGCGGGGTTGATGTCCTGGGGTCTCGGTGACGAGATGTGGAAGCACCGTCTGGAAGCGGGAGCGGAGAGGCAGGTTGGGCGGAAGGTCAATGTCGGGGCCAGTCGTCGTGATGGTCGAACAGACCGGATGGCAAGTATCCACGAGCTCTGCATTCAAAATGTGGCCGGTGGGAATTCGAGCGCTGCGGGGTGACTCAATTGTGCCTCGCCTTGTCGCAGGTTGACAGGAAAACCTTCTGCAACAGCTGCAAGGCTGATGCCTGACTAAGAATCCGGAAGCCATCTCATTGGCTGTTTCAAATGGATGTGAAGCGAGAGCGGGCGCCGGGACTTATCAGCGGCTGTCAATTGGTGCCCGGCTTTTGGAGAAAGTCCCACTTGGAAAATAACCCCGCCATATTTTTCCTTTGCCATATAAAACGACTTTGACAAGATATTCAGATGAAGATTTCCTCCAAGACGCCCGCTTGATTGTGCGCATCCAATTGTATATTCTCAATTTACTCGCTAACACGGACTTGTATGCCCTAGAAGACCCCCTCCAGGAGGGACTCTTGAGAAGCCCATACCTTTCAAGACTCTACAAGACTCCAGACGACTCACACCACGATCCCCACATCCTCATACCTGCCACCACTTTCTCATCATATTCGGTCCTGATTCTCAGACTGGGAATAAACTTCAGGAACGTCGGAAAAGAAACCGGCTCCGATCTAGCAAACGTTTCCGTAGCCGCCGCTAATGACAGGTCTACTGAACACAGTTGTGCTTCTAGGACTCAGCATATTCAGAACCGACATGTACGAGGGACAATCACCCCCACATCGAGATGGCGGTCAACATAACAGTATGAGGCTCTGCTGTAGAACGTATACTCGACTCCCTCGGATATCTTTGGTCGTCGAGGTGACTCTACTAACAAGTTACACAGTGACTCTACTGCTCAACTAAGTTGAGAGTGTGTGATTCATTTTCGCGGCCACTGTATCATGGACCGACCCAAGGGATTATAAGGTTTCGGTAGCCGCACCCGATGTTGGACAAGTTGACATCGTCTGAACGGACTTTTACCCCTTCTGTCAAAAGATGAAGAGAAGTGTCGAGTTAAAGATCGCCCTGTGCACCCCCAAATCGCATCCCGTGACAGTGGGATTTATACTGCAGAAGAGCACCACCGCCGGACTGGTTCCCGTATTTCGCAATTGGCTCAGCAGCCCGCCGCCGCCTCTGCATCGGTCTGGAATAGCCAATCTCCTCCATGTTTGAACCACCTTTTTTTAATTTTTTTTTAGGTGAATCCTTGCAGTGGAATCTGAAAGTGCCGGAGAAGGCTTGCCAAAAGAGGCTCGTCGCCAAAAACCCCTGAATACGGTGGATACGGCATAGACGGTCCGGTATACAATGGACAACACCGACTTTTATGGCGGTAGATGGTATCTACAAACTGTTGATGTTGCACTGTTGAGTATATCCGAGTCTTGTCCGATCTCGACAAAATCCATGGGGTTTTCGATCGCATTCTGGACATCGAATTGCGGGGAGAAATCGGGGTAAGACGGCTGAAAGTCCAGACTGACACACTGGCAGCGTGGTAGCAACCGCTCAATCGCCCGGAGACGGGCGCCGTAAGCATGGCGCGAACGGGGGTGACAGGGGAACGAATGCTGCCTCTTGGCATCAAGAGCTGGGATGATGGATAGTGGCCAAGAAGCCAAGGGGACCTGGGCTTGCTTCTGGCCTGCTTCGTTTGCTCTTTTGAAAGTTCCCATCTGGACCGACACGAAGTTCAAAACAAAGGCCTGCGCTCCCTTCAAGGCAGCAATAGCGCTTGATTAGAACGCCCTACCGACAACCTTGCGGCGACTTCCCCCTTACGCAATTCCTCGTTGCTCAGGCTCTCACTTACGTACGCGTGTGGATCCAGTCCTACAGACAATTCCTTGTCGCTCATTCGTTTGTTCCCAAAGGCTGCCACAGCAGGAGCTCCGATACAACGCAGGCAGTCAATATACCTCCCTTGAGAACTCGGGCTTCGGATCTGTTCGTTTTCCGTATCTTCTAGGACCAAGCTTGTTGTGTCCTTTACCCGCATAGGACCTACAGAGTCTTTGACAGATATCTGCTTAACACTTATAAGGCACAGCCTCTCTCTTGTTGTTTGTTTCCCTTTTGGACGACATCAAGAACAACACGCGGCTCCACAAAGTCCCTTGCCCCTTTTCTGACCACCCCAATGCTCTCTTGATTGGTATTAGCCAGTCCAAACCTCTTCTCAGAGTCCATTCACAATGGCAAGTGAGGTAGAGAGTATAGGGAAATCAGATCCCACCCAAGTTTCTGAAAACAACAAACCGGACTCTCTCGATCATGCCACCAACGAAAAGAACGATGCGCCTGCTGTGACACCACCACCCAAGGACCCTCAGGCGCGCCCTGAAAGAGAGGCTACTTTCAAGGACTACCTACGGGTCTTCACCTATGCGACAAAATGGGACTTTGCCATGATGGTGGCCGCTGGCGTGGCTAGTATCGGCGCTGGTACCACGATGCCGCTCATGAACATTGTCTTTGGAAGACTGATTGGCGACTTTAACAACTATTTCACCCCCGCTGCTCAGTCACAGTCGGATTTCGAGGCACAAACCAACAAGATGGCGCTTTACATCTTTGGTCTGTTCATCGCCCGCTTCGGCCTCAACTACATCAACAAGTTCTGCTTCCGTCTCATTGGTATCCGCATGTCTGCCGCTATCAGATTGCATTACATGAGATCTCTCTTTGGCCAAACGATTCACGTCCTTGACTCGATGCCCTCTGGAGCCGCAGCCAGCACCATCACCGGAACATCCAACACGCTGCAGCTCGGTATCTCAGAGAAGCTGGGCACCTTCCTCGAGTTTTCTTCCACCATCACCACCGCCATCATCGTCGCTTTTACTTACGATTGGGCCCTCGCTCTCGTTACATCCTCCGTCATTCTGTTCATTGCTTTGGTCATCGGCACCATGCTCCCTTTTATTCTCAAAGGTCAAACAAGGCTCACCAAGGCCGAGGCAAAGGGCACATCTGTCGCGACAGAGTCCTTCAGCGCCATCAGAATGATCAGCTCCTGCGGCGCAGAGTCTCGCATGGCGAAGAAGTACGCCGAATGGGTCAAGAAGGCGAGACAAGCCGCCCAGTTTTCCTCTCCCTTCTTCTCGATCCAGTTTGGCGGCATATTCTTTGGCCTGTACGGTTCTTTTGCTTTGGCTTTCTGGTACGGGATGAAGTCTGTGGTGGAGGGACGGATCGACAACATTGGGACGATCATCATTGTGCTCACATCTGTGATGATGATGGTCATCTCTCTCGAGCGCATCTCCACCCCGCTTATTGCGGTTTCAAAGGCTATGGTTGCTGCTGCCGAGTTTTTTGCTGTTATCGATGCGCCAAAGCCGAAGATGGGAACGCTCAAGGAGCCGGATGTGACTGCGGATCAGGATATTGTTTTTGAGGACGTGGTGTTTGCTTACCCGAGTCGGCCGTCGAAAAAGGTGCTGGATGGGCTTAACTTGAGGATTGCGGCGAATATGAACACGGCTATTGTTGGGCCTTCGGGGTCGGGGAAGAGCACGATTGTGGGGCTGATTGAGGGGTGGTATACGCTTCATGATCAGTATGTTATTGCCAAGGCTGTGGCGAAGGATCCGGCGAAGGAGAAGAAGGAGAAGGAGAAGGAGAAGAAGAGGAAGGAGGGGAAGGTTGTTGAGAAGAGTGAGGATGAGGAGGAGGATGGACCGGCGCCTATTGATGCTGAGGATGTTGGTCCTCCTGTTGAGCTGAGCGGGAGTATTTCGACTTGCGGGAAGGAGTTGGGGGATATTGACATCAAGTGGTGGAGATCGCAGATTGGTCTTGTTCAGCAGGAGCCCTTCCTGTTCAATAATACCATCTTTGAGAATGTCGCTACTGGGCTTATTGGGACTGAGCATGAGAATGCGTCCAAGGAAGAGAAGATGAAGTTGGTCAAGGAGGCTTGTGCTGAGAGTTTTGCTGACGAGTTTATCGACCGGTTGCCGGATGGTTATGAGACCCAGGTTGGAGATTCCGGTGCCAAGTTGAGCGGTGGGCAGAGACAGCGCATTGCTATTGCCCGGAGTATCATCAAGAAGCCCAAGATTCTGATTCTGGACGAGGCTACCTCTGCCATCGATGTTCGCGGAGAGCGCATCGTTCAGGCTGCGCTCGAGAGAGCCTCCAAGGGCCGCACCACCATCACTATTGCCCATCGGCTGTCTACCATCAAGAACGCGGATCGCATTATTGTCTTGCAAAACGGAAAGGTCGCTGAAGAAGGTACCCATGACGGTCTTCTTGCCAACGAGCTCGGTGTCTACTACGGTCTTGTTCACGCCCAGAAGCTGTCGCTTGGTGAGGACACTGGCGAGGATAACCTCCAGGAGGAAGATATCGCCGCCGTTCTGACGAGGGAGAAGAGCGCCGCAATCTCAGAAAAGGACGGCACCAAGAAGAGTGTTCCCGTTTGGAAGGATCGCAACCTCATCAATGGTTTTGGCAAGCTCCTGTCAGAGCAGAAGAGCAGATTTCCCTTCTACATCATCGCCCTCGTCGGTGCCATGGGAGCGGCCTCTGCTATTCCCATTCAAGCTTACCTCTTCGCCCAAGTCGTCGGCGTCTTCCAAGACCCCCTCAATCTGCTGGAAGGAGCCACATTCTGGTCCAAGATGTGGGCTGCCCTCGCTGCCGGCGTGGGCTTCAGCTACTTCCTCACAACCTACGTCTCAACCAGCGTTGAAGGCTTCATCTCGGCTGCCTACAAGCAAGAGTACTTTGAATCAATCCTCTTCCAACCCACATCCTACTTTGACAAAGACGACAATGCCACTGGACAGCTCACCGCCCGGTTATCGTCTGACCCTCAGGCCTTGAAAGAAATGCTCGGCATCAACATCATGATGATGCTCATCGGCGTCTTCTCCCTCATCGGTGCCCTTACCATCTCCTTCGCCTTTGGCTGGAAACTCGCCCTGGTAGCCACCTGCGTCACCGTCCCTATGGGTTTGCTGGCGGGGTACTACCGCATCCGTTACGAGCTCCAATTCAACGCCATGAACGAAGCCGTCTTCCAGGAGTCGTCCAAGTTTGGCGCCGAGTCCATTTCCGCCTTCCGCACTGTCAGTGCTCTCGTCATGGAAGACAGCATCTGCAACCGGTATTCCAACCTCCTCAACGGGCACGTAACCGGCGCGTACAAAAAGGCTCGCTGGACAACCTTCATCTTTGCCTACGCTGACTCTGTCGGGCTGGGCTGCACCGCTCTCATCCTCTGGTACGGCGGCCGTCTCCTCGCCGCAAGGGAATACGATGTCATCGCCTTTTTGGTTACCTACATGGCCATGATCCAGGGTGCTGAGTCGGCCGGTCAGTGGCTTTCCTTCGGACCCAACGCTGCGCAGGCTGCTGCTGCGGCGAACAGGATTTTGCAGGCGAGGGATAGCAAGATTAAGGATTCCATCTCCGCGGCGGAGCAGATTCCCGACACGGAGGGGGGGATTGCTATTGAGTTGAGGGATGTTTTCTTCAAGTATCCCACGAGAGACGTTTCCATCTTTCGGGGTTTGAACATCACGATTGAGAAGGGCCAGTTTGCCGCTCTTGTTGGTGCGTCTGGGTCGGGGAAGACGTCGATTGTTTCGTTACTGGAGCGGTTTTATGATGTGGATAAGGGGCAGATTTTGTTTAACGGGAAGGATATCTCCGAGGTTAATGTTTTTGAGTACCGGAAGTTGTTGTCGCTTGTGGCGCAGGAGCCGTCGCTTTTCCACGGGACGATTAGGGAGAATATTCTCCTGGGTGTGGACCCGGAACAGGTCAGTGAGGAGGAGCTGCATAATTGCTGCAAGGACGCGAGTATACATGAGTTCATCATGAGTTTGCCTGAGGGGTATAACACGAATATTGGGAGCAGGGGTGTTAGTCTGTCGGGGGGGCAGAAGCAGAGGTTGAGTATCGCGAGGGCGTTGATTAGGAATCCGAGGGTGTTGTTGTTGGATGAGGCGACTAGTTCGTTGGATTCGGAGAGCGAGAAGTTGGTCCAGAAGGCGTTTGAGAGGGTTGCCAAGGGGAGGACGACGGTGGCGGTGGCGCATCGGTTGGCGACGATTCAGGGGGCGGATGTGATTTATGTGTTGGGAGAGGGGAAGGTGTTGGAGAAGGGGAATCACAATGAGTTGTTGAGGAAGAAGGGGGTTTATTGGCATATGGTGAGTCTACCTTGCTTCTGAAGACATGTGTTTGGGGTATGCTAACACGATGAACAGTGCCATAATCAGGCTTTAGACCGTTAGAGATTTCGATTCTTGTTCATGACTTGACAATATGGGGGGGTTTGAGGTGGTTTTTTCTTGGATATACTTTTTTCTTCTTTTTCCTTTTTCCTTTTTTTTTTTTTTTTTGGATTTGGGCTTTGAGGTCGACATACATCCAACTCATTCTTATATAGCAAGCGAGCGAGCGCGCACCTTGTTTTTATAAATATTCCACACATATAATAGATATTCCTTTGGCCAAGATGATGCGCCACTTTCATGCCAAGTGCTTCCATTGAGGTTTGCTTGTCGGTATTGAAAGTTCATGAAGAATTAACCATCCTGATCAACTAATTAGTTTCAACAACTTTCTTCATGTCAGTCTTCAATGTAAGTTTACTCCTTTAGTCCATCAACTGCCAAACGCTCATTTACGTCACTTTTCGCACCGGTATAGTCGCGGCAACCCCCCACCTTAAGCTCAAACAAGCTCTTATCTCTCGCCAGCTTCCCCTCCATGGTGTCCTCGGAGAAAGCGATATCCTGCCGGCAGAGATCGCTACCACAACCGACAGGTCTCATTGGACCCTGGTGTAAGTGCTGAAGATAAAGGCAGAGGAGCAGAACAGGATTGCTGCATTTCCGCTGAGGGTTATAAGGCCTGGAACCTTTTTACCTGAGTTATATACAAACTGCCTCTCCCAGGCTCTTCTATTTCCAACTGCCTTCTTGATTTGTTTTTGTTGTTGTTTGTAAAGTTTACATCAGCGCCATGGACTCGACAGACGAATTCAGCCCCTATCGTGAGGATGGAAAGCTTGTATGTTCCTCCTCCCTTTCTTTTGTTCATTGAACATGGAATATGACCTCGGAAACTAATCAGATCACCAACAAAAGTACGGCTTCGTCTGCGTAGTAACCGGCGCCTCCCACCCCATAGGACAAGCCATCATCCAAGAGTTAGCCGGTAAGCAAAATATCCCTCTCAATATCCCTATCAGATAATCCACAACCATGTACTAACCACCCTTTCTCCATCCCCAGCCCACGGAGCGGCAGCCATCTACGGTAACTCCCCCCCTTCCCCCCCCCTTTCTCCCGATAACTAACCCCCGTACCTAGCATGCGACCACCCCCCCTCCTCTAACACCACCACAACCGCCCAATCCACCTCCCTCCCCTCCCCCTCCCCCTCCCACCACCTCACAAAAATAATCCCTTACCCCACCTCCCCCCCCTCACAAGCAATAGAACACGAAACCCTCGCCCTAATCGACGAGATT